TTTTATGCGTTTTAAATGGAAACACTACAGTTTCAGAACGCACTCATAAATTTCCCTTTATTACTCAGATGTGGCCATTATTTCAATTTGCCTCAATGTGCGTTGATGTTCTCGGAGGCTCAGTTGTATGTTCTGACCCCTGAGTTTAATACGGGTACTTATTGCTCTTTTCTCCATGAATTCTTGCCAATGGAGTAATACACCCTGGTTGAAATAAACTTTAGCTGGAATGACAGACAGGTTCGGAATCCATTCCATGTTTTATTTTGTACTTGAACTTCTCCACTCCTGTTTGGTGCTGATGTACCTGTGTTCTGTCGTGTTTGGTGTTTAAGTGTAAAGGTGCTGGACATTTATGACATGGACCTCGATGGGGTCGGTATCACACAAGGTGGTTGCTTTTAAGGCAGTCAGATGATTATTATTATTATTATTATTGTCAGGTGATGGTGATGGGTTCTTTATGATATATAGTTATATACTGCTGAGGATTGTTGTTGTTGGTGATGAAGATGATGATGATGATGATTTGTGTGTTTGGATGAGAGCTGCTTTACACCCATCATTGTTTAAATGCGCTCTGATGAACTCTTGAAGCTGGAGGTTCATGGAAAAATGTTTGTGTTCAATTAAAAAAATGGTAAAACCAGAAGCATTTCTGACTCTTCATTATGTTTGACCGACTTCATTATTAGTCCAACACTTGACAAGTGGCAAATGAGACAAAAAAAAAAGCTCTAAGTACTAGCCAGAGATCCATATTGAAAATATCAGTGACTGTTATTCAGGAAACCTGTACTTCAATTAACATTTTACCTTCAGGGGTTTAACTAGTAGGAAGTATTATTACGATTCTCAAGAACTTTGGCCAGTAAACCACACAAACAAATATGTGGAGCAGTGTTATTTTTGTATTATATATATACGATTACAATATTTATTAATATTTTGAATTTTGTCAAGTCACCTTTATTTATATAATGCTTTATACAATACTGTGTCAAAGCAGGCTTCCAATAGTGTCTGTGCAATCAGTCAAGCATCCCCAACTAAACAAGCCAAAGGCGACAGTGGCAAAGAACCAAAACTCCATCGGTGACAGAAATGGAGAAAAAACTTAGGAGAAACCAGGCTCAGTCGAGGGGCCAGTTCTCCTCTGGCCAGATGAAACCAGCAAGACATGGTTTAATTCCAGGCTGCAACACAGGTCAGATTGTGCAGAGGACTCGTCTGGTTCTCGTGGTCTTTTGCCGATGGCCGACGAGGTCTTCACAGGGGATCTGTCTCTGGGGCGCATCTAGGGCCTATTTACACCTGGTCACTTCATGTGTTTTTTCTGATAGGATAGCTATCCGATCGTGAAAAGACCAGGTGTAAATGCCCTCCGAAACGCATTCGAGCTGGATATAAAT